ATATTATATAATAATATCAGAGATTTATATACAAAAAATAAAAATAAATAACAAAGTAGACAATCAGGATTAAGATTAAATAAAGATTCAGTTATTATATTTAATTGTATTGAGTAAGCAAACAGTGATGTACAAACATTTAGACTGAATATCAAATGATCTATTCAAAACAAATTTTAATCGAATTTATATACTGCCTTTTAAATTCTCTATGGATTTAATATATGCATAATTTTGCCTTGCTTCCTTCTTAGAGCAAAGTATCTCTCTTTTAATTATTTAAGACGCAGAACCAAGAACAATTTACTGCCAAAGACAACATTTACAACATTCATTTTGTACCAGATAAAGTCTAGTATTAGCAACACGCAAATTTCACGTTCTTTTTTTTTTATTTTTTATTTTTTACTTATCCTTTATAAATGCAAATATGGTACATTTATAGTATTATTTAATAATGCTTCGGTATTTATGTTTAATTAGTTACTTATTTATGGTGATTGGAAATTTATTCAATGGCGATAGTATGTATTAATCCTTTTTTACATTTATTGTATGAATACAGCTATACATGGGTATATTAATAAATTATTTACAAAATTATGATACACGTTTCCATCAAAGACCCCCATACAAATATAAGCTACAATAATAATTCATTTTATAAACTTATTGTGATAAAAAAGACAATCAATTTAATATAACAAATCTATTTGGATATATAAAAGTAATGAATCTTACAATCTCTACAGAGTTAATATGTTTTGATTGTTTGTTCTTTATGGTACATTTCCAAAATTATTTCTTGTTTCAACATTGAAAATACAGACGGAAGATTTCTTTCTGTACAGCTGTCTACATGCTTTGAAAACTTAATGACACGTTAAAACAAAACAGGTTGCATTATAAACATAACTGAACTAATTAAACAAGTTTATAGATTATACAAAAAAAGATGTTAGCACATGTTTCAAGTATTGATTTCATAAAGAATTACTCATTGATAAAATATAGCTATTATAATTTCCTTTACACTGATTATTATTAAGTCAATAGCAAAAATTCCCTTTATACTGCTTGATACCTCAGAAATCAATCATATTCTGTGATAAACTTAGCATCATTATGATGTAACAAAAGTTTCATTTCACATGGTCCCACATATTGTAATTTCTAATTCACCTCTTTCTTTCTATGCAACCAAGTCATTCAAAAAGCAACTGCATTTTTTTACATATTATCCACTATACATATTGTTTAGAAGAAAGCACTGTATATTATCTATTATAGATTATAGGTTGTAAATCACTTAAAATTGGACAATTGAATGTACGATTGAGCAAAAAAATTTTTTTAAATTTCCTACAATTACAATTAATTTGTCGTACTTTTTGACTGCTTAGGTAATACAAACTTCATTCTACAGCGATTTACTGTTTCACGAATATAATGGCCTGGTTTTATCACTTCTGTGGTTCTCTGTTGAATAGTTTGTGTTTCTTTTCCATCCTCTACTTCTTCTTCTTTCTCATCCTCTCTCAAGACTGGAATGAAACTACTTATTTTCCTATACAAAAATTGAAAGAAAGTTTTATATTACTTTTATGCCATTAAAACGTAATAAAACAGCATATAAAGCATTGAGTTCTTAGCTGTCATTGGAAGTATAAGCGAACATGCTACAGAGCACTGAATATGAAAATATATGTGAGCTAACAGCAAAGCAAATTAATCTAATTGAAAAATAACCACCTACGATGATCAGCAGCCATAGTCTTTGACCTGGTCTGAGGGGGTGAAAACATATATTTTGGAACTTCTCCAATGGCTGCAAATGTTTTAAATAATTAAATTATCTTGTATTGTCTTAATAATAATAACAAAATTATTTTGACAAATGAACATTAATTAAATATCATTATAATATACCTTTCTCGTCCAATGGTAGATTATCCATTTTTTCTGGTTGCGAAAACGAAAATTGATTAATTTCCTTATTTTTAGTATCTTGCTTCGTAGGTTTACGATTTCTTCTCGGTTTTGGTATCACTTTCTCTGCTTCTTGACCAGAAGTTTCAGAAGAAATATGTTTTCTCTTTGTAGAAACTTTTTTAAGATCAGAATTGTCTACTGAACTCGCTGTTCCTACCGCTTCCTCTATTATTGTTTCCTCAAAGAATCCTTTGTTACGAGTACTTCTGAGTTTCCTTCTTGTCTCGATTTGAGATAATTCAACACTTACTGCTCTTCTCTGACGAGAGTTCTGTGCAGTCTGCGTTTTATTACTTGCAGTGGAGACTCTCTCTTTTAACGGAACGCTTAAAATTTCTTCAAGTTCTTCTGGTATCGATTGTATCGATGATCTACGACTACGTGTGTTTACAGCTGGACTACCTATTATATGTTCTACCTGCCCCTTTATTGTTTCTAGTAGTGATTCAGACTCCTCTGAAATAATTTCCTTAGCTACGCTACTAGATCTTCGAGTCCTTACTATACTAATTGATTCCTTCGGCATCGAACTACCACGTTTTCTTGGAGGTTCAACAGGTTTCATTTCTTTCATCTCTTGTTCACTTGTTTCAAATTCTTTTGTTGACTTGGTTAAAATTGTACTCGATTTTCTTGTTCCTCCAGAAAACTGTTTTGTTTTCAAAGCTTTAGTTTCTATTTGAACCTTTGTCTCATTATCTTTTATTGTTAAATCTGTTATAGACAATTTACTATTTTTTACCAAAGGTTTAACTACAGGTTCAGTTACAGGTTCTGGTAGCTCTTTTTGCACTGAAACAGAACGTCTGGTAGTTCTCCTTACTGGAATTTTAGCTTCTTTGCTTTCTGCCTCTATAGATATATCCTTGGTTATAGAAGATGCTCTTTTACCCCTATTTTTCCTTGGAGATGAAGTCCCGGGTGATCCTTCTGACCCAGAAGAAGCTGCCCTCTTGATAGTTTCATCTACAGCTGACACAGATCCAATTAACACTTCTTTTACGAGTGAACTAGCTCGTCTCGATCGTGATATTTTTGCTGTAGTCTTAGAAGGTGAATTTAAAGGAGATGTATTGATTTCTTTTGTTGTGGAGGAAGCTCTTCGTGATCTAGTTATCCTAGGTGCAACTTCATAGGATTCAGAATCTAAACTAGAAGTATTAACAATATCCTTTTGCTCTGTACACTCTGATAAATTATGGACTGAATTTTTTCGCGCTTTTTTGTAACTAGAATTATTATTATCAAGTTGTATTGACTTTTCTTTTGTTTTATATTTCTGCGAAATTTCTTTCTGCAGTATGAGCAACCTGGATTGGTTATCTGTACTGTCTCGTCTACCTGAACCTGCAATCCTTTCCACATCATCTATTACTTCTACACTAGAATCTGATTCATCATCTGTAATATTTGAAGCATCATAGATGTTATCTACAACCATGGGTACTGTTTCTAACTCCTGTTTTTCTTTGCTCTCTATTTTATCGAATACTAAAACTGCCTCATCGCCACTGTGTGAAGATTCATCGTCAGTAATATCAAAATGCTCGGTATTTTGCGAATTTACATGTTTTTCAACATTATGCTCAAATTTATTATATTGATCCTCACAAAATGACCAATGGTATTGTTCTTTGCTTTCCAAATAACTTAAGTTATTCATTATGTTTGGAAAATCTTTAAATTCTTTTTCATTGCTTTTATGGCCTTTACTACTATCTTCCAAAGTTTTAATCTTTGAAAGATCTCCATTTCTGTACTTACTTTCCATATTCTCTGTTAATTTTTTACTATTACAAAGTTCTAAATTATTTGATTGTTTTATACTTTCCAAAAACTTCTGTTCCTCATTACAAAGCACTTCTGGAATTATGTCCTCTTCAATATCCTTGTCAACTGATTCCTTTGAACTGTGTTGTGATTCCTCAGGAACAGAATTCTTTATCATAGGAGTCGACGCAAAGACACAATTATAATTACTATCTTGTTGTTTAGGTATTTTCAATGAGCACTGAAGGTTGCTCTCATTGAACTTTCTTAAAGAAATGTTAGTTTCAAAACTACTATCTGGAGAAAGTATCGCAGGAGAATAAACAGAAGAAGATGATGTAGAAATAAATCTTGTAGACACTTGTGGTATATCCTTTGATAAGCAGTTATGCAATGTATTGCCTGAAGATGTACTCAAATGTGAATTTATATAACTTCTTGAACATTTGGTCAAAGATTCATTCATAGATTCTGTAGACGTTTGTAAATGACTTCTTCTAAGACTCGGTCTAGGTCGAGCAGTGTACACGTTTTTACAAGTATAACTGCTATCCGATAAGACTGCACTCTCAGTCAAAGACTTTTCGCTCACCACTGGACTTATGAACACTTCTTTGCTTTCTTCAGAATCATTAAGTTTAGAGAAATCTTCTCCCCCATTAACCTCGTCAAGAGAACTATTGTTTTTTGATTGATTAATATTAAATCGTATCTGTCGAGGAATTTTACGCTCTCTATCCAATACTGAATTGTCCATGATTTCTACCTGTAGATTACCAACAGGAGATGTTGAATTTCTTATGAGTTGTCGAATTTTTAAAATAGAATGAGGAGTTTCAATTGGAGTATCCCGATTGTTTGATATTTTTCGTTTTACCAAAGGAGTACTAAATGCAGCATTCAAGACTGATTCACCATCATCCAGCAACTTTCTACGTTTTGTTTTGTCTAGTGTTTTTAAGTCACTATTCTCTTCATCATGTGTAATTTCTTCTAAGGTGCGTTTTCTACTCTTCTCCACTACTTCAGGGGACATTACACAACTTATGTTGATTTTATCATTACTTAATTTTAACGTGGCGCAAGGAGCAGTAACAAAAGGTATCCCAGACTTCTCCCCTCTAAGATAGGTCTCTCTTGCTTTCTTAATGACTGTTTCATAAATATTTGTGGTTCTCTGAAGATTTTTATTGTAAGTCATGGGTCTAGGATATCTGGACTCTAGATCTGTATCTAAGTTCATTTTATTTATGCTCATAGAAAATCGTTTCACCACATCTGGTAAAGTTGCATTGTAAGCATTTAATATATCAACATGTGTATTTTTTGAGGCAATGGCATTGAACCAAGTAGTCGAGTTTTTGCTATTAACTTCCATGTAACGACACCGTTGCAAATAATATAATAATTTTATGTCTTCAGACTTGGAATCTTCTAAAAATTTGACAAACATTTCCTCCTCCTCAGAATCAAGAGCCAAATGTAAAATATCACCAAGTTTGTCATAATTTTTACAGGCATGAAAAAAGCACATTAATATTTGCGTATAATGCGACCGAGGTCTGTGGTGAAAAGCAGATTGAACTAACCCATGCTCTACTGATAAAGTTATTAATGTACTCTGTTCTTGAATGGATGACAAAGGTGGTTTCTTTATACGTAAATACATCAAAGCAAGCTTGTGCTGGCTGTTTCTTATCAATGTTCTTAGCACAAGTTTATGATACCAATCTTTGACATCAGAATCACTGACTAATTGACCTGTTATCATATCCAAAAAGCCATGATAATCTTCATGATCAAGTAGCCAGAATGCTTGAGTAAGTTTTATGAGACTTGGACTCATCTTAAAAGAGGAAGGATATTTGATCAATTGATCAACTCCAGGATAAGATCCTTGTAACAGCATAGCTAAGTCCATCAAAAGGTATATAGTGATCTGATGCTTATATTTTATTTCATTTGACTCTATTTGACCACAATCAGTTAAGTAACTTCGTAGTAATGATTGCAAAGAAGGTGGAGGATAATAACCATTTGTAATCACATCTCCAGCTTCTCTTTCCCACTGCAAATTTAAAGCAGGACACTCTCGAGTGATTAGTTCGTCAATGAAGAGTACTTTTTCATTTTCATCTTTTAGATTATTATCCTTAATCGATTCTCGTTTCTCTTTATATATGGCGAATAGTTTTTCGTATGGATATGGAATCTTTAAAGCAAGGGAAATAGGTAGAGGACCTTCCTCTAAATTCTGCGATTCAGGCAACAAACCCACGTCATAAAACCATAGAAGTACTTGAAAGTACATGGATACTCGCTTTAATGCCCTTCGTTGCTTGATTAAACTACTTGTTTCAAAAGGTAGTTTAGCTACTACATTGGATAGGCACTCCAATTGATGATGACAAAATCTCAGTGTTTTTACTTCAGATTCTCCTATGTTATTACCTGATTGATCAAATAAAGGAATACATAAGTGATCAGCAATCATTTTTATAGAAGATGCACGCTGTATTCCCCATTTTAAAAAGTTTGGGTACATGTAAGCAGCACTTCCATCTGACCATTCTTTGGCACATCTAATTAAGAAAGTCGCCCAACGTTGCTCCAGGCAAAGTGACAATAACATATCCCTTTGAGTATTATGATCACTAGAAAAGGAAACTTCTGTGTTGAAAGGTACTAAACCGACGGAAAGACACTTGTGAAACATTTCAGAAGGTTGTGTTAGTATAATAGGTCCTGTAAGGGCAATTTCACGAAGTAATTCAGCTTGGACACCTCTAGAAAACCAAAAAGTAAGTTTTGCCAAACTTAATTCTATCCATTCTAGGGATAAGGAATTTGGATAAAATAATTCTTCTGATGAGCTTAAGCTATTATTGGGAAACTCTTGCAAAGTGCGAGAAATATAGGCACAGCTTATTATCTCATTGTTGGTCAAGTTACAGAGCTGATGATTTGTATTGTAACAGGCTAAGATACTATTTGGATTCTTGCACTCGCTGATGGTTTGAGGCATCTGTTCCTTATACCATTGATTTAAGTCGAATAACAAAGTTCTATTTGTAGTTGAAATCAGAATCAAACTGTCTTCACCTTTTCTACATTCTGACTCTGTTTGATCTAGATTGTTTCCTCTTTCAATTGTAGATAAACTAACCACTCTATCTTTTGAATCTAATTCAACTTCGAACTTAAGGCTAGGCTCAGCTTCCAAATTAAAATACAAATTAGTTCCCCTATTACAGTACTTTCGGTTGAATAATAAGGCAAACATTCTTAAGAGAGGAGGAACTCTAAATGAGTCATCTTGAAAAACAACCCATAAATAGTAAAAGGACCTGGGGTCATCTGCTGGTTCTAATAATGCTAAATGTGTTACAATCATAGTTTCGTCTACAGGTGTGCTAATCCATCCCACAGAGCCATCATTCTGCCATATTATTACTCTGCCTAGACATCCTGATATTAAACAACCGATTTTCGTTGAACTGATTATAATATTTGTTAATTTTTCATCTAAAAAAGCATTAGATTCAAAATCTTCTCTATTAAAACCAATATGTTTTTCAATACCTACAAATGTATAAATATAGTTTTATTTATCAAATTAGAATATGAAATAGTGTTATTTAAGTTATACTTACGTTGAGTTAGCAAATTACAAGTCATATGTTTGCTGTTATTTCTATGGAAGGAATCTTTTGTTGTTAAAAACTCTATCTCAGCTGGAGAAATTTCATCCATTATAAGAGATAAATCAGATACCTCCCAGGTAGACCTCTGAAGGTCAATCATGAGATGATGAAGATTGCGTAATACTACACAAGCTATACCATCCATTTGCATAAGAATATTGTCTGGTCTTTTATCATTAAATTCTTCCCATTCTGTTCCACCAGATACAATACATACTTGTTCTACACCAGCTGGCATCTACAAAATATAAAATATAAAATATAAATATTATACCTTTCATTCTAAATATTTTATAAAATTTTAATACCTACTCTAATAGCTCTTAAAACACGAGAGGAAGTACAATCAAAGATGCATAATAAACCCATAGAATCTTTAATTCTTGTTGCTTCGTTATCTAAACCAACAAGAAGCAATGGTAATTCTCCGCATTGAACAGGAAATTGACAAACACATGTAATCTTTCCCCGAAAAGTCCACGAACTGGTACTTTCACCAGTTTTTGCATTAAGAACTACTAAATGACAACCATAACTTAGCCAAGCATATGTTGCATCATTTAAAAAGCCTCCATAGACACCATCAGAACTATTATATATTTGTGAACCATTTGATGGTCCACCGTCATCTCTTTCTACATTACTTAAACATTTTGTTATAGAGTGTTGGATGTCTATAACATTGCGTATCTGCATAAAAATAATGTTAAAACATTTAGAGTAATATTACTTTTAATAATATAACGTAAACAAGTACTACAATAACCATGTGGATACTTTTTGGTATTCTTTCAAAAGAAAACAGGAAAATCTATTGATATTATGAATTACCTCACAGCTAACTTCTTCTAATTCCTTCATATTTAATACAATATATTAAAATAAACTGCACAAGAAAGAATCATTTATAAACTTTTTTGCTAAGGTCACCATAAGGTTATGTTACCGCCAAATTCCAATGATCCTGTTACGTATCAACAATAACGATTGGCACAAGCTTAGATAAGGTACATTCAATGTATCATCTGACTGACTATTTGAAAGACGGAGTAATTTAGAAACATACAGAAGAATATATATATTACTTTTAAATTCGTTCCATTACTCATGCATTCATTTTAAAACTGTAACTATACAACTGCGAAGTACGTTAAGAAGTGTTACCAATTGCATGTTTTACCAATGACGGTTAAATCACAAATATACAATGTTTATTGTTAGTTTTAAATTTAATCAAGTACATAAATATGATAACAAAAATGTTCAATTATTGAAAAAGATATTCAAATATTCAAAGTTTTCTAAAATTATTATTTAAAAAATTATGAGATAAATTTTTATTATCCATTAAATCCTATACCCATAGAATAGAAATCTCCTTTTTTACTTATTGGTAAACTTTAATTTAATTTTTATTTTTATTAAAAAATAAATTTTAAAATTAAAATTTACATTTTAAATTTGAATATAGATGTATATATAACAAAAAAAAATAAATTTTGAATATTTAAAAATTGATCAAAATTAATAAATATTGATTTTACGTAATCTTTGTGACGTTAAATAAAATTAATATTCTCAATGAATTTATGATATTGTTTTTTTTTTAATCTATTATGATAATTTCTATATATTTCTGATAACATATATTATTTACTACAATTGCAATTATTAAATAATTTATATAAACTTATGAATGCATTGTTAAGCTACATTAGAACGCCCTTAATGATATTTCATTGAAAACTCCACATTTGACTAATTGAATATAAAATTTGTTTATAAATCTCAAGAAAAATATTATTTATAATATTCCTTATTATATATATTTTTTTACAGTTATATTATAAAAAGTATATGGGATTTTATACTGTTCACAATTTAAATATTTGAATAAGTTTTATACATTATGAAAATTAAAATTTCAGTAGTATTGTAATTGACAGCTCTAACCTTAGTTGAATACAACTACTTGTTTATCAAATTGGTTTAAAGAATTCAGTATTAGTAATTAAGAAATGATTATTATATCATAAAATGTCATATCAGGATTCACCGTTTTCGACTATGTATGGTCAAGATGATTATGATATCGACGAGGATAATGATGAATATTTAGAGGATGACCGTGATGCTGAAGAACAGGATGAAAGTGATGAAGGTACAATTAGTATATTAAAAATATTTTGTAATTGGTACATTCATGAGTGGTCAATGTGAATCTCCAGATACTGAAGAAGCAAGCGAGACAGATCTTGGCAAATCTGAAGAATACACAGAAATAAAAGAGCAGTAAGTAAATAAATACATATACGTTTCTTGATCAACAATGCAGTATTAAATTTTTTCAGAGTTTACCAAGATAAATTGGCTAGTTTAAAAAAACAATTACAACAATTAAAGGACGGAACACATCCAGAATATAATCGCAAGTTAAAGCGCTTAGAGGCTCAATACAAAGAAAGGTTTACATACTTTACATATAAAATTCATCTTAAATGTAGTTATTGTATACATGCCTTTTAATTAAATTGTCTATTTACAGATTACGTTTGAATATAATTTACCGTGATTATTTGACAGAATGGGTAGAACGTGACTACATATTGGAAAAGAAGGCAGCAGTGAAGGAATTTGAAGAAAAAAAGATAGATTTGAAGGAGAATTTACTGACTGATATGGAAGAGAAACGGAAGATGATAGAATCTGATCGACACACAATGGAACTCACTGGTGATTCAATGGAGGTATAAATTTGGCAGAAATGGAAGTTTTATGTTTGATATTTCATATTATACTAACATGTTCCTACTTTTCTTTATACATTATATTATTTTTTACTCACTGTTTAGGTGAAACCTGTAATGACAAGGAAATTACGCAGACGACCAAATGATCCTGTACCTGAAAAAGTAGAAAAACGGAGGAAGCCACCTCCTGCACAGTTGAATTATTTATTAGATGAAAAAGAGATAGAAAGCGATTTAAAAGCTATTAGTCGTGGTAAAGTACTGACCACTGTTCGAAAACCAGGTACTGATTGGAAATTCTATGGTAATATGCATACATTAATTATGTAACATTATTTCCAGCAATATTGCCACATTACAACATGGTAAATATGCCTTCGCAACATATTCCTCCACCTTCCGATACTCCCATAATAGAGACTAGAATAGAGGATGGAAAACTTTTACATGAAAGGCGGTGGTAAGTTAAGTTTTTATTCCTTGATGTAAAATATGTATCAATTTTGTATTTAAACAAAAAAATTGTAGGTTTCATCGCGGACAACCAGTGTATGTAGAAGGGAAAGATTTAACCAGGTTTGCTGCAAATATCTCTGCAATAGGAACTGAAGCTGTAAGTTATAAGTATTAATAAATCCACAGAATTATTCCTTTTTATTCACTTTTTTTAATTTCCTCATTTCACAGATCTGGGTGAAGAAAGTTTCGGATGGAAGTAAAGTGCGAATATATATATCCCAGCTAAGTCGAGGGAAAATTTCAATCAAAAGAAGAGCATCCTAATGTCTATTGTAACGAGATATTCATCGTTACCAATTCAAGTGTTCCATAATTAAACTTGTGATATATTAGATTTGTAGTTTATTGAAGTTTTATTTTCTGGATTCAATATAATTCTTACTGTACTTGTCTTTTGCCACCAATAAAACCAGATCTTCTGATGATACTGTATTGCCATATACATCCATATAAAATAAGAGAAAAGCAACAAAGACATCATACTTAACAATAAATAAGTTGTCCATCGTGCTGGAGAAAAGTTATCATACTTATTCTTTGCATAAAAATCAGCTGCGACTATACAAATATAAGAACATCCTATCGCCATAGGTGTAATAATAATGCTTCGAAGTAAATCAGCCTTTAAACTGCGAACATACAATTGATGTTGTTGCTGATTGAGGCACATCCAAATTATTATGGAATGTAAAACATGGTAGCGAGGAGTTCGTCTGACTTCAAACTGATGTCCGCATAATTCACAACTATTCCTGTTACTTTCCTCTAGCCAGTGTTCTAGGCATTTTAAATGAATTGCACCCATGGTTCCCTTGAAGAAATTTCATTTTATTTTATCTGTTAATTTCTTTGAAATGTTAGTGATGGTGACGATTAACCAACTTTGCACTTGCAGAGATATGTAATGGGCAATTGTTGAGAAGAATCATAGCAAATGCGACAGTATATCTCTTCATCAAAAGATTTGTGTAAACTTAACTTTGGTCTTTTATTCAAATCATGTTTTCCATTGAGTTTCCGTTTTATGGTTAACTTAATATTTTTATTCTTTTGGCTAGATTCTGCTACAACTTTCGCTATAATTTCCTCAAGAACATATTCGATGGAGCTTCTTTCGTTGATCATTATAGTTAGTTATTTAACCTAAATATTTTTGTGCAATGCCCGAAATAAAAAAAGACAAATGAAAATTAATTATATAACAATTTAAATTTATCACTATTCTACTATTTACAACTGTATTATGTTATTGAAAAGTGACGTTCGTAACTATGAAATATGACAAAATATTCTATTTTTACTTCTTACTATAAGTACTCGTTAGTAAAAGATAGAAAATCATAGGATAGAAAATCATGAAAAAAATCATGAACTATTGTGTTACATGTATAAAAACTTGTATTATGTTTCTGAAGAATACAGTTAAATTAGCCAAGTAAAGTAATATTAACGAGATACTTAAATATGTGCAATTTGAAATTATTCACTAAATTATAAATAAACATTTGTCATTCAGCCATCATATCCACACTGGGACAATCTTCACCCATATTACTCGGCGATGTTTCTAATTCTCCAATCTCGTTAGATTCACTGTAAATGTATATTCCATGTAGTATGAAATCTTATAAAATTTTGATAACTAACTGTGCCAGTAATTATGAAAGTAGCCTAAGTCAAAATCTGAAAAAAATGATTTTGTACTTCGTTACATTTGTTTATATTAGCATAAAATAAAATAGTGTTTTGCCAAAATAGTAAAAAGTAGAATGATTAGATTAAGTTTGTAATTTTGTTGTAATTAATTTTTTAATTTATAACATATTTGAATATTTTGAAATGAAACATATGTGACTTAAGCCATTTTCATAATCACTAACACAACTATTTACCTATCTAATGAAGGATCATTGCTGAACATTTCAGTTGGAACAGTAGGTGGTGCTTTCTCTGGTACTAATTCTAAATAAGTCTGCCGAGACTCTAGATGTCTTTCGACTTCTTCTGGTGTCATGTGACCATCTGACATTAAAGACAGTGGTACTACATTGTTTGACGATTGTACCTGAAGTATGAAATGTTTTTAATGTAATTATTTCTTAAAGTTACAAACAATTACAAATAGTTACTTACTATAGGTGTGTTGTTTGATTTTGTTACTTTTGGAGTGGGTTTTTTCTTTTTACTTGTGTTGAGAGGTTTTGTTACTGTTGGAATATGATGAGGTGTATGATTACTAATACCCATTTCTATCTTTTTTCTAATAACAAAATATAAAATTAATATATAAATAGCAACAACTTATTTTTAGTAGAAATTCTTTTAATTACCTTTTTGAAGTGTCAAGTCGAGTAACTTCTTCATCAGATGATTCTGTTTCATCACTTTCACTGAACGAAGCATCTACCTTCTCATATTGTAATAATCGATCCAATAAAAAACTTTTGTCCCTATTTACTTTAAGTAATTTCCTTTGTGTAGACCGTAAAGCTTCTTGAAAACATTCATTTTCCTAAAATAATTATTGGATGAGATAAAACTGTATTCAAAACATATATAATAAAATTAAATACACATACATAGATTAAAAATTTTAACTTTCTTTTAAGATTTCGATATTGATCTTTATAATTAGGCACATCTTCTTCTGGGCTATCATCATCATCATCTTCTGCATCTGCATTGTTGTTTGCAATTGAACGACAATACCATTCTTCCAACATTGATCATCTGCAACTAGAAATAAATAAATTTACAACTTTTTGTAAGTATTATGCTATTTAATAAAATATAATTATGATATTTTTAATATCATTTATTTCTACAGTCATTAAAAGTACTTTTGTGCGCTTATAGTTTTACATTAAATGTTACAATTAAAAGCGGCAAATCTACTATTAACATTATTTTGATATCATTTAAGGTTAAGTCTACAAAAACGAAACATAAACTGACAATGGTATATGTTACAAAAAATGAAAAAATGATTGGCAGAAATTATAATTCAAATTGGAATAAAATTTCAGTAATACCTACGCGAAACTTTAATATGATTTTTTGTGTGTCGCAAATAAACTGAGCAAATGAGTATTAACAAGATAAATAAGCTGTTTATGACTGGCTTCCATTCTGGACTCCTTTATCGATTCTATAGTAACTTCGAGACTACTATTCGGCAATGAGTATTAAGTAGAATATCCACATACGTTTTAGTAAATGCTTTTCCGCAGAAAATTAATTATTTTTTAGAGATTTCTTAAATTAAGTTAACAATTATTTGATAATGTAATGATTACTTATAAAAATAGTAACATTTCCTTCTCCTTTATAATACAAACCAAAAAATAGTATTATTAAGTTTACATTTTATAATTTTACACGATACTTGTTTAATAAATAAACAGAAACACTAAGTAACTTTTAATTTGAAATTTGTATATGATTTTTTAATAATACATTGTAATAGAAAATTGATTATATCCAATTATAATATAATAATAATAAAAATAAAAAATTGAATCATAAAAAGTGAAATGATAAATGTCACATATAACATATTTTTCAACAGATTTATACAGCATACATAAATTTTGTTAAAGTTAGGTCGATAACAAAAGTTTTAAAATGTTTTGAAATTTAATATAATCATTATCCTTATTTTTTTTTAGATACGAAATTTTTAAACTGATATTTAAAGCTTTAGGGAGAATAATTTTCCATTAGCCCCTTTGATGCGCTACGTCACATGTTCTAATTAGTCTCAATGAGTTTCCCATCTTCTTAAATTCGATTTTCTATGAATATATTGGAGTAAAATTGATAAACTTACATGGTCGAAGTTTTTAATTTTTGTAAAACCGTTTTTAGGTAAAAAATTGTTAAATATTATCATCACAGTGCAAATTATTTAAACATTTCTAATCATTACGAAAAGATTTCGTATTAAAAATGGGTATACCGAAGTTGTTCCGATATATAAGCGAAAGATATCCTTGTGTCACTGAAAAATTGAAGGATTATCAGGTAACTAAAAAAAGTTGTCAACAATAATTGCTTCTTAAGTTTTATCGCCGATAGTATCTGTTTTTGTATTTTTTCCTATATGTTCTGTTATCGCATATTTTTTTCAAATAAAAATTTTTGACAAGAGCATGCATAAATAATATCTGAAATAAAATAAATATATCTCAGTGCATTATCGATGTACGATTACATCATTGTTTGCAGATACCTGAATTTGATAATTTATATATAGATGCAAATGGTATTATACATGAATGCTCACATCCAGGCAATATGGACATTTCGATCTGCATTTCAGAGGAGACTATATTCAAGAATATATTTCGTTATATTGAGTTATTGTTTTGCATGATCCAGCCACAAAAGTTATTTTTTGTAGCAATTGATGGTGTGGCACCACGTGCAAAAGTTAATCAACAAAGAAGTAGACGCTTCAAAACTGCAAAAGATGTAGAGATTCAAGAAGCTAAAGCAAGAGCTAAAGGTATAAACATACCTAAAGAGAACAGATTTGATTCTAATTGTATAACTCCAGGAACACAGTTTATGTCTAAACTTGATGAGCAATTGAAATATTTTATTACATATAAAATCTCAACAAGCAAACTTTGGCAAAAGTGTAAAATTATATTCAGTGGATCTCAGGTTCCTGGTGAAGGAGAGCACAAAATAATGGAGTTCATACGTTATATGAAAACACAACCAAATTATAATGTAAATACTAAACATTGTTTATATGGTTTAGATGCAGACTTAATAATGTTAGGTTTATGCACACATGAGTTACATTTTATATTATTAAGAGAAGAAGTAACATTTTCTAAAAGTGGAAGGAAAGTTTGTTTTATTCCAGAAGAGACAAAATTTTGTCTATTTCATTTACATGTATTAAGAGGATATATAGATCATGAGTTTTCCTCATTGAAAGAAAAGTTGCCTTTTCCATATGATTTGGAGAAGATAATTGATGACTGGATTTTAATGGGATTTCTTGTAGGAAATGATTTTATACCACATCTGCCAAATTTACATATTGTACATGGTGCATTGTCCATATTGTATGAAGTATACATGAACACATTGCCTACGTTAGATGGTTAGATAATCTAAACTAGAAAAAACAATATAAAATATGTCAGAAAATATTTGAAGTACTCAATTCATTTCAGGTTATATAAATGAAGCAGGGACATTAAGATTAGATAGATTTGAAAAATTTATGGAAAAACTTAGTCGTTTTGACATATTGCAATTTTCTGAATATTATGCAGATTTGAAGTTTCTTGAAACTAAAACAGGAAAATATTTCATTAAGACTGCAAAACAGAATGATAAGACATCAAGGAGCAGTGAAGAGACTTATTCTCCCCAAAAAATACAAGATAAGGAATTTAATGCTTTACTTAGAACTGCAGCAGAGATGGTACTTATTTAAATTGTACCTCAATAATCATATTCACAATACTTGATTTATTAATACATTTAAATACAGTCTTTAGGAAGGTATGACGATGAAGATGGAGATGATAAATCGGATAGCGAAATGTACACTATGGAATTTGTTCAACACAAAAAAGATTATTATATAAATAAGATAAAATATGAAAACATAGATGAGTAAGTGTAATTAGTAAACATTACACAATTCAAGCATTTCATACTCTTTCTATATTTATTGATTATGTATTACATGATGTTTTAGAGATTTTTTACATTCACAAGCTGAGTGTTATGTTAGGGCGATTCAATGGAATTTAAATTATTATTATAATGGATGTTGTAGTTGGTCATGGTACTATCCACACCATTATGCACCTTATATATCAGATATAAAAAATTTTAAGGACTTAAAGTTGGAATTTGAATTAGGGCAACCATTTTCACCATTTGAACAATTATTGGCTGTATTGCCACCATATAGTAAAGAATTATTACCATCAGCATTCCAATCATTGTTAATTGATAAAGAGTCTCCAATAATTGATTATTATCCATGGGACTTCAAAACAGATTTAAATGGCAAGAGGCAAGAATGGGAGGCTGTAGTACTTATACCATTTATAAATGAAAAAGTCTTATTAGAAGGTAAATAAAGTGTTGTAACATTTCAGTTTACAATATATTAAAGTTATTAATTGAAATTTTACAGCAATGGCACCTCATTATTCAAAGTTAACTCCAGAGGAACAGGCAAGAAACCAACATGGACCAATGTGCTTGTTCTTATATACGAAACAAGATTTAGGCATTTATAAATCACCTGAATATTTTCCCGATATTATTAATCATGCAACTATGAAATTAATTAATCGTGAGGATATTTTTGTTCCTAGAGAGAAATTAGTACGAGGTTTGTGTCCTGGTGTAAACTTAGATATATATCATTTTGGATTTTCTTCCTTGCGGTATATAAAGCATACTGCAAAACTAGAGAAGGCCAAAGTAAGTTATCCGCAACCTTTTTTTCTTTATTCTAAGTTTCCTATTTTATTGTACTGAAATAATTTTTGTTGCATATAGGTAACTGTATTCCAAAGACAATCCGATCAAAAAAGTATGATCTTATATATTAAGTCACAAACCAAGGCTGACTTAACAACTATAGGATCAAAATTATTAGGAGAAACAGTGTTCGTAAATTGGCCTCATTTGAGGGAGGCTTTTGTAATTGGCGTTTCGGATTGTTCTACAAAATTGAATTTAGTTAATCCACAAATGAAACGTTTATACGATACCGTTGATGAAACAGAGTGGAATGTGTTGAAGGAACGTATAACAAAAATGTAAGTCAACTAAAAATTTTTTAATATCGCGTTTACTTTATTTTAATTGTGTTGAATTTTGCTAATTATTATATATAGGTATAAAAGTTATCTTGGAGTGGATATTGGAGAAACGAAGTTTTTGGTCTATGTACGATTACTGACAGGCGAAAAGTATACTATTGGTTCCAATGGGAAAGTACACATCGAAAAGCACTGGGATGATGTTCCAAGTTGTTATGCTTATCAGACTGTAGTAGAAGATATCACGATCTGTAGCAATAATGTTGCACGATATGAGACTGTTAATGATATCTTTGAACTAGGGACTACTTGTTTTATGTTGGGACATCCATATTATGGAGCAATGGGAAAAGTACGTCGTATAGAATATACATAAATAACACGACTACAAATTTCGATTTTTTTTTTTTTTTTAATAGATACGCAAGTCAGCAGTTTGTAAAATATCGGGTAGAGTAAAAGTATCTGTATTCACGACGGGAGAACCGTCATTCAAAGCTATCAAACAAATTCAAGCGGATCTTCAAACTCAATATATGAACGGGAATATAGCGTCACAAAAATTGGGTATAAGTACTCTACTTTTAAGTAGAATTACTGGCACAATTTTTGTAAAGCAATCTTCAAATGGGTCTCAGCAAGATGAAGTTACACATAATATCGGATTCAATTTAAAATTCACGAAGAAAAACGCAGAAGTAAATATATTCTATTGTTATTACTTTTGTAGAACAAATTTTTCACTGTACATATGAATTTTAGGTACCTGGTTACACTCGGAAAGGAGAAGATGGTTATTGGCTTTATAGTCCAAAAGCGCTTGACTTAGTCCGCTGCTACATGCTAAGATATCCTACTCTTTTTGAACGATTAGCTCAAAATCCAACCACGTGTATTTTTCAAGAAGAAGATTTATTTACTAAAGGGTAAAGAATTATTTAATTGCCACTCACTATTAAATGAGTTTGATTATTGATTCATGATATTTTGTTATTATAGATCTGGAGAGCTAAATGACATAGTGGCTTGGTTGAAAGAACAGTTTCATGGAATAGAAAGTCAAACCTGTGGTGGGAAAACTGTTGAGAGTTTTATAGTAAAAAAAATAGAGGAGGAAGTAGATGCATATTTAAAGACACCAAATAGCATTAGAAGAGTTGTAGATATGCAAGTGCAGCCATATTTACTTTATACACCTAGTTTATATATACGCAATCTTCCACCTGATCCAAAAACACAGACACAATTGCTGGACAGAATTTGCTGTACTAAAGATAATTTCACAGTACCTCTTGGATATAAAGGAACTGTAATTGGAATACAAAAGGCAGCACGTGTATTGGATACTATGTACACTATTTTGTTCGACAAACCAATTATTGGTGAGTGTAATTTCTATTTTTTCAATGAATTATTAAAACAATTGAATTTAGTTAAATGTTATTTTTAGATGGATTTAGTATAAATGGATCCTCTGAATGTCGTGCGTATCGTTTGGCAGCTTTTGATTTCATAAATATTAGTTATGGACAGAGGATAGAACACAGTAAAGGGACTATGAATTTGAACACAGAGCCTATAGAAGAGTGGAAGAATCTTATGACCAATCAGGAAGGTCAATTACGCACAAACACCAGTACTTTTAGGCCATATAGGAATGAAAATTATTTGTCGATTGAAACACCGATGTCGCCAAAATCACGGATTACTCAAAAAAGTATTGAAGAAACGTCAAAAAATCAGCCAACTCATAAATTTAAACAATACAGCAGTCAAAACACTGCAAATATTTGGAAGTCGAACAAGACGGTGAAAAGTGTGCAGCTTTCTCAGAACACGCAAAAGATGCCGACGACAAATCCAACGTCCGAATTCCAGGCAATATGGAACGAATTGCATAAGAAACAGGTCAGTCTATTTTACATTTTAGTTTTGACTGTATATATCAATCTAATAGCATATTAAGGGGTCTTATATATTGTACGTATAATTTATTAGGAACTGAATAAAGCTGCACCACAAGTTCTAATGAAACCTGAAAATTCAGTAGGTATCGGTGCATAATTTTTTTCATATTATCAATAGTTTATTACCAATCATGGTATTTTAGCCACAAGATCCGAGTGCTTTCTTAAAAGCAGTATTAAAAATTCCTGATGGAAACGCTCAAGAACTTGTACAACCTGGAGTATCTAAAATACCTAAATGTTCAAATAATCTACAAAAAGAAAACAAGGTATTGGATACACCACCTTTGGTGCAACAATTATTTGATGTAAGCACTTCAAGTTATCATTATTTAAGTATTGCATCACTTTAGTAACAAAAATTTGTTTCATTTCAGCAAGCTCGTCAGAATAATAAAACACCAATTTGGTATTGCTCTCAATTATTGAATTACTATCAACTTAGACCCTTGTGTAAATCATGAACAGGCAGCAGGAAGTGCTGCGAAGAAAGTTTACACAGTAATTTATTAAAAATTTAATTGAACATCTTTTTTTTTATTATAATTTTATCTGTTAATTTTTTGTCAGGAATTAAATTTGGGTAATCTACTACCAAATATGAAGATACTTCTGCCACCTCTTCAATATTGGTACTTTAATTTTCAAAATAATAAATGGACGCAAAATATAAGACCACCAGTAGTACCATATTATTCTTCAGAACCTAAACCTCTTCAATTATCCCTCGAATGGGTTCAAAAGGATAATTGTGCTGCTGGTACTCAAGATACGTCCAAGCAAAGTAATCAATATAAGAATCATATTCAATCAGAAACGTCTCAGAAACCAAAGTCAGAAACAAAGAAATGCCCAACTTTCGTACCGTTACAAGCACAAAAGAAAAGCAGACACATCTTAGCTAAGCAGGTTGCTAACAAAGATAATGTAAATCAAAGTGCCAAAGACAATTTTCAGCACACAATACAAAAGAAAAAGGAATTCTCTACGAAGGTCTGTTAACTGTTTGAATACTAGAAGGCACGATCGCGCTTCTATTCACTCTCTGAAAGTGCCAATTAGTCAGCTCGTCAAATCGAATCAGTTGTACGATTGGATTTCGTTGATACGTGTCTTTACTGTTACTGCTTAGTGAGACTATATTAAATAATATTTTTAAAATATCAAATAATATTTTCAGTACTTATACTTACAGTAATGTCACAGTAACTGAAGTAATTTAAGCTTATAAGTTCAAAAACATTTTTTGGCACGAAGCGGATAAAGCGGGGTTACGCTGCTTGATACTTTTCGATATAAAACAAAAAAAAAACGTGAGTGCACCACCTTTGGCACTTTTTGTCATGAAACGAAAGAAGCACGATCGCTGTGCCTAGCATTTTTTGGTTCGGTTTTTACAAAAAACTGAGACACTCAAACTACTACAATAAATATTTTTCTTTAAGCAATTGTAAATATTTAATTTTGTACTCAACCCTTTCAGACGATAAAAGTAGAAGCTGTCAGCCCGCCCGTCGAAAAGGAAAAGCCAGTGCAAAATAGTTCACATCAAGTACAAAATACACAAACCGTGATAAAGCCTAAAAAATCGCGGGTTGCCGCAAATTTTTTCATATCACTACAAATTGAAGAGAGTAATCATAGTAACAGTTCAACCTAAAGAAAAGAAAAGGACATTTGATAAACAGTTGGAAAATTTTTCAACGTGTTTATCTCTCTTTCACATACTTCTTTTTGATATTGTGTAATAAAAAATTTCAAACAAGACGAAAGTGCATGTATGCATATGGAAGAAAAATATCAGAGATTGAAGTAATACTCGATTATAAGTAGCTTTTACTTTGGAGTTTTCTCTTTTTTCTCTTTTTTCTGAGCATATTGAGATAAATTGTAAGTAACTTTTATTTTAAAGTTTTCTTTTTTCTTCTTTCTTATAAGCATATCGACTTATATGTGTGAATAACATTAAAGTATATAAGTTAATTTGTAAGATTGATTTAATGTAATTATGAAGCAACAAGGATAAATGAATATTTTATATGTCTTGATATTGTGTGAAAAATAGTATTAAATACTATAGATTACAGTACATACATTACACTGAAAAAGAAAAATAATTTGTTTGTAAACTTTTGAAACACATTAACCAATGGGAATGAATAAAAAAAAAAAAAAAAGTCGATATATTATATAACATACGACTGTTTATCACTTTTTCTTTCATTATGTATTTTCTTTTGATATACACATAGTTTTTATTTAAAATTACTTGTTATATAAAAGATAAACGTTACCCTTATCGATTCTATTCGCAACAGAAAGTATTTTACACAGAATAAAGTAGCGTTTATTTAATAATTGGATTATTCGTTAATCATGTATGATTAATTATTTTCTGTTATCCTTTTCTCCACTCTTTTATTGCTTACGCGATATTACATTCCAATTAGTTGCCGAAGACAAATTCTGCAGGCTAAAGTCTTGTAATAAGTCGTACATTCGTTTGTTCGTTCTTTCTCGCAACACATTTCTAATGAAGAGATCTTTTTGTGCTTGCGAAATTGTAAATAAGGTATTATGTTTCTCAAAAGCGATACGAAGCCACTGTGCTGTCCATTCAATGCACGTTTTATTCAATGTCAATAGAACTTCCGCATGAGGCTCTAGGTTACTTCTCGGAATTTCTCCACCTATTATCATGAATTTAATGTTATACAATTATTCAAAATTTGTATAGATACGATTTTTCATTTACATACCTACACATTGTAAAATTACAGAAACTAACTGTTGACCAATTGGTTGAACAAATGTCTGTAGATGCGGACTCTGCATAATAGCATGTGTAAGAAAGTGTCCAGCTGCCTTGACTGTGCCTGTTTCTGGTAGTGTCAAACAATTGATTCCTGCAACAAATAAAACTGATTTTCTGAAATTCTGCATTATGAATTTTTAGATTGCACAATTGAAAAAATATAAATTGGAAATTAAATTTACCACATTGTAACATTTCCGGAATTTGATCAGGGATTTGTAACAACATTCTTGTATTTTTCTTGCAAATTTGAGCTAATAATCCAAGATATGCTTCCATTAATTCTGCCCAATCGGATAAATTCCCATTTACAGATCTACAAGCTCTAACACCACTTAATGTAATGGAACTTATATCAGCAAAAACAGGTCCAATTACATTATTTGGATCTCGTCCAAATAATAGTACGAGTTGTCGAAGTAGATTTAAAGCCGCAGGATGAGGCCAAGTCTTGTACGAATTTGCCAAAATAGGAAGCAGAGGGCGAGCATCTTCTTCTGGATGTAAAAGTGATGTTAGAGACTTCTGGGCACACATATACATCTCTCCTAATGTAAAATTGTCTTGACCCCATTCTGGGTGGGCAACAATTTGACTAAATATTGGCAATAGACCATCTAATACAGCTTTTCCAATAGATCCTTCTAATGTAGAGAAGAACATGGTAGCCATTTTTAACTGATTCATTACAGCACCACGAGCAACAAACCAAGGTTGTTCCAGTAATTCTCGAATTTTTATTATACACAAGCCTAATGTAGCATCCAAATGAGCTAACTGTTCATCAACAGAGGGTAAAGTATTCAGCAATTTGCCAGCTGCATACATCATTCGTAAACCCTCTGCGCATCCTGGAGTAACATTTGGAAGAGTTTGTTCAATGGTATTAAGAATTGATGGAGCAAATGGTGTGAGTTGTTGTTCACACTCTCGAGCTAAATCTTTTAAAGCCATAGTAGCAAAAGGTGCTGTGACTGAGCCTCTTGTTAAACCCAAAGTTACAATTCGGAGCACTCTTTCGAGCCAAGGATCTGGATGTTCTCCAATCCATTCTGCATATGCTCCCATTGTTGAACATGCACATGCAAGTATCTAAAATGAAATAAGATTTGATATATCTATGATGAAACAGTATGTTTCTGTAATCTACTTTTATTTATAAATGAATATAAGATTGTAACATATAATTTGATTATGCACCATTTTAATACAAGAGAATTTGTTGTACCTCTCCAGGGTAGAGATCGTATGGGATATGACTAAGAACCAAGTCCATCAAAGCGGGAATGTATTGGGATTCTTCAATGCCAACGCTATCTGCTAAAGCTTCGAAAGCGTGCAACGTCGACTCTACCTCTGTCCACTTTTCCGAGCTGTCTAATGCTTGACTCAGCCTTTGTCCAAGAAGAACTAACAAATCTTGTCCTAATACTCTATAACAATAATCTAAAACATCTGCGACGTCTTGTCTATAACACCTGAAAAGCTCCCGTTCTTCTGCATCTCCTGCTTCACTAAGAGACGAAGGAAGCGTCGACTTTCTTAATAATGCTTGTGCTAATCTTGCATAAACAGGTTTCAAAATCAGCAAAGCACGATTTTCATAAGGCTGGTCGAGAGTGGGAAGATTATCTTGTAAGGCATACCAGAATCCAAATGGGATAGAACTACGAGTTTCATTTGTAGGATATCTTCCTTCTTGTTCAGAACATTGTAAAAGCAATTCAATTAAACCTTCAACAGTCCATTTCTGTGTTTCGTTTCCTTCTTCCACTAAAGCATATAGAAACGTTCTGCTGTGAGCATCTCCAATTGCAGTTAAAATTTCACAAAAATATTTTCCACTATATTGCCTTGCCATGGTTACCAAACTTTGTGTCCATTCCCACAGTGTTTGTGGTCTTTTTGTAAGTTCACAATGAGTTACTATCATATTCAAGCATTCTTGAACAACTTCCCAACCTCTGACATTTTCTTCATCATGTCCTTCCCTTTAAAATTATATAATATACAACCCTGATTTATAATAAATATGCTTTTAATATACATACCTGCTTGGTGCATAATATGCTGCAGCTGCTAGCAAGTGAGGATATATCTGTCCTGTTGCCTCAAGAGGAAGTTGACCCACTTTAAGCCAACATAATGCACATTCCATAGCTAATAAGTGCATATCATTATCAGTGTCTTGAAAATTTGGATTACATATTAAAAAAACTTGTTGTAAAAGCCAAGTTGTCTTGCACCAGCCATTTACTAAACACTCATGTAATTTAGCTCGTCTTACTTCATGTCTTCTTTCAAACTGATTACATTATTGAATATATTAATCATTCATGGATCTGCAAAATATTTATGTATATGTCTTACCTCTACAGGTAATACAGAAAGTGTACGTAACAATAATTCCAACATAGGAAGAGAATCATATGATAACATCCTCATCAGTTCATCTACAACATTTTTATCCTTATCATCATTTTCTACAATTGCACTAGTATTTGCTACAAATCCAGCTAACTGAAAACACAAAATTCTTTGCTTTAATATCAATAATATAACTTAAATTAATCATAACCAAATTCATATGAGACATTACCGCCTGACAAAGTTTGGATAGAACAACCTTTGGCATATTTGGCTGCTTCATAAAGTTTATTATACGCTCCTGTAAAACTGGATATTCACTCTTGGGCACTTCATCCCACTGTTTGGAAATTTTTGCATGTAATGTGCTAGCTGCATAAAACTGTGCTTCTCTTGACTATAATAAAAGACAGAACTGTTAGTTCCAATAATATATTGATGACACATAGGCAAAGCTGTATATTTGTGTACCTTGGAAGGATCAAGAAGTTCCCAAACAAAAGTCCAAGCTTCTGGAGAGGCTTGAACCCTGAGAAGCCATGAATGTACATCGTTATTTCCTTCTGCATAAAACTGTTTCACAGCTTGGTCAATTACAGTTGCATAATCCATTGCAAATTATTTGTAAGCTTTTATAAATAATCTTATAATCAAAAATTGTTAAGTCTACATTGGAAAAGGTCTCATTGTCATTAAAAAACTACGTTTCTCGCCTAATTCCATTAAAACTTTCGTTGGTAATTTTTCTATCATCTTCTTTGTAAATCATCTAAAGCATGGTTCCACATAAAATTTGTGCACTCAACTGCTTAATTCCTGTTTACACAGTTCTTTTTGACCGTCTTGGAAATTTCATGATTGCGCGCAAAAACGACATCTTTTGCTATCAACGATAACTCTAGTTACATTACATTTCTAAAAATACACCCGAAATTTTATTTTAATTTTCATTGATTTAAAAAATATTTGTATGCTTAAGAAAATTTACAATATTTCAATGAAATAGAATAAAATAAAATTAATTAAGAATAACCTATGCAGGTTTTCGTACGGTCTTAAAGTGTATGAAGTACAATCTAGAATTCATGTAAACAAGGACTTAATAAAATAACCACAGAAGTGCAACAGCTGATTTAACTGCACTATATTTATGCGCGCGCGTGCGCGCGTTACGTGTGCGTATGGGATAAAACACTAAGTGCGCATTATATATCGTTCATACATGTCATTTATTACCAAATCTTTAAAAATATTTTAATCGGATGACAACTTCTTTTTTATGGAAACGTTTGAACTATTTATAGTATTATAATATCTTACATTATTATTGTTATTTCTCTACTACTTTTATTAATTTTCAATTTTTTTTTTTACAAATTCAATAATTGTCACGTATGTATAAATGATATATCACCTTGTTCAAAATTTATAATGATTATTATATTGTATATAACTAAAAATAATATCTGACTTATGAAACGAGTTGCAATTGTCATGGATAACTCTAAGGATCTACTTATTAATGGTATAAATTTAATATATTATATCAGTTTTAATTTCAAAACAATAATCAATATATGTTATTAATAACAAGCAATAATTTTTGTAGAACATAATATTCAACTACAAGGTATTCAACTGAATGATTCAGAAACTGTAACCAAAACAATTCCACAAGATCTAGATGCATTGGCAAGAGAAATAGAAAAAGCAGATTACTTTATCAAAACAAATGCTTGTAGCAAGTTGCAAGTGATTATAGAACAAATTAAATCCCTAAAGAAACAAGCTGAGAATATTGTTGCAGAAGCAGATTGGAACATGAAATTACATCATGTTCCTTGTAATTTTGTGAAACGTCCTGGACATGTATATCATCTCTACCAAAGAAAAACTGGTCAACTTTACTTTTCCATGATTAGTTCAAATGTAAATCAATCACATTCTTATTTTGTTCTACAATTAAAAGAGATATATGTGAATTACTAGCAATTTTATGTTACAGGAATGGGGTAAGTCTGAATTTGCTCAAACTTATAAGGGTTCCTACAGATTAGAGCATGATTATTCATGGACATCTTTAAGAGAGATTGATAACAAAGATAAAGAAATAGCTATGTTTGCTACATTTTGGTCCAACAACTGCATTTAAAAATATTCATTTGAATGTAATTATGTAAAGATAATGTGTAGTATATTTGTTTCAAATACATTCGTTTGTTTTAAACATTTTGGTATTTTTAACTAAAATTTGTTGTATTTATTATTTTCTTGGATTAAGGCATGTAAAGTGAAACAATGTACGAGTGATCTAAGATATTGTTCCACATAATTTATCAGTTACATTTTATGTAATTTATACAGTATTATTATTTCTGATAAATGAAGGGTACGAATATGATTTCTAGAAAATGATGTATATAATTCTATATATATTTTGCATTTTATCGCTGTAACGATATAGTTCTATTAACAACAAACTCCTTGAATGTTTATTTTTTTTTAAGTGTGAAAAATATTTTTGTTATAGTCATAAAGACATAAGTTTCCTCCCCCTCGATTTTTTACGTGACAACAATTTAGTCGTCGTATGAGATGCAATCATTACGATTGCAATGTTAATGATGATTATTCGTTTTTTCTTGACAAGCAATAATTACAATATAGAGAAATAATCTGATTGTACTGCTTTCTTTTATACTGGATAACATAATAAAAACAATTACTTGGGGGAAATTAAAATTATCGTACAAAGTATTATAAATGATTAACGAACACTCAATTTCTTCAACTAGATATCTGTGGAAGTTTAATCTAAAAATGATCAAAAGGACTTAATGAAGCAGTACAGACTATCACCATGAACGTTGGTGACTTTATTTCGATTTTTTATGGTAACACATGCGTCATGTTGTGTTTACTCTATGTGCTAAAACAGAATAATTTTTTATTAATATTTATAAAAACTATAATTGTAAGTATAAATTATGCTTATAATTCTTACACGGTAATGGTATTCTAACTGGTGCATTGTCCTTGACTATGCATTCATGTGTTTCATTACGAAATAGATATTGTATTAATAATTGTTTCTCTTCTCCTACACATGGATCATAGAATCCTGGTAGTTCACTCTGTAATATCAAAATATACATGATTTTACTTTTTACGATAGAAAAGATAAACTAAGTTTAAAGCATACCTTCGATGCATCATAAAGGATCAATTTCGAATCCTTTACTAAACATTGTAAAGGAATGGTTACATCTATTACTTCATCCCTACGTATGTGTTGCTGCTCTGAATTATACTGATCTTGGGGATAAACAAATCTTCCATATAAGGCTTTTGCAATAATCAGGCCCTTTTTTGATTCTTCTTTAGCTCTTATCCTACTTACGGTTGCTTTCATTAATTTTGTAGCACTTTCCGCCTCCTTTTGTTTTTCCATCATTCTCGTCTTGTTTACCTCCTTCTCTTTCTCTTTTTCACGTTCTTGTCGTTTTTTTACCATGGGATCTATCACAACTTTTTTTAACACAACCCATGTCATCAGAGGGATCATGGTGGCATAGAACACAGTAGCTGGAAGAACTTCATCACTGAGATGTATAGGAAATGAGTAGGTTTGAAAGGAACGGTTCAATTTAATTTTTAATGTAACTCCTGTTGGCACTCCTGCAGACACAGCTGCAGATAGCCTAGTATGTCGCGAAATCTTCTTTTCCGCTCCGTACTCCACAAATAACCCAAATGTGCCAGCTCTATAATTAATAAAACATTAAAGTTATCATAATATGAAAGTACTATACATTAGAATACAAACAATTATGAATAACAGACGAATTTGTCGGTTAATACTAACTTCACACTTCCTCGTAATTTCATTTCTTTCTCATACATTTTATATGTGTAATTAAAACTAATGAATGACCGTAGGATACCAAGATGTACGGAAAATGATATATGTGTCCTATCTGTGTCCCTGACAATTCCAGTACTCATGGAACTTTCTGGACCTGCATTGTACGTGAATTCTCCTATTGTATGAGTGTCTAATTGCATTGTAAGTGCTAAAATAAACATAATCCTTTGAAAAAATTATATATATTCATTAATAGACATTTATAGCTGACTTAAAATGAATGAACATACTGCCTATAAGACTAGTTTTAATATCAGCAGGCGTAAATTCCAGTATTGTTGCCCCGTTGAACATCAATTTATGGTATAATAAACGAAAACCTTTTAACGATATCATAGGTCCATTTCCAGCACCAACTTCTAGTTCTACCCAACCTTTTGATGTAAGTAGACGTTTTGCTGCTACATTTATAGATCCAGAACCTATACCATTTCTTGTACTTAGCTGACCATACATTGTTACAATGTCTTGTAAAGTAAGGGGCACTTCAATGGATTGAGTAAATGTCATTCCACTGACTTCTATGCATGAAAGTATGTCCCTGCTATATTTTGAAATACAATATACTTCATAGCATATACATCAGCATTAAAGGATATAATCCATTACCTATCTTCATAGTCTTTATCATATTTGTTAAAAAGGTCTGTGGCATTGATTTTCATTGTGACACTAGTAGTAGGATTTGTAAGCCTTAATAACTTTCTTTCCTCCGCTTCTTTAGCAAGATACTCATATTCTTCTCTGATTTCTTGAGGAGTTTTAGTACGTTCTACTATCTCCCAACCTTCAATTTGCAGCCCTCTGACTCCCACTGAGTCATAAATAGCCCTTTGATGGGGATTACTTAGAACTATCATACAAATAATGTTATTTTTATACAATGTATACATTATTGAAATATGTTTAGAATATTCTATATAAACCTTTATATGCTTCTTTAGTACGATTAAATAAAATTTCTGCCTCTTTTTTAAGTACAGGCTCCACATGTTTGTCAGGATGATAAAGTTTACTTTGTCTACGATACGCATAATTGATCTCCTCCTGTGTAGCCTGCAAGTAAACTTTTTATAACTAAAATGTTCTTAAATAATTTTTAATTTTAATGAAAAAATTTAAAGTATATATTTCTCTGTACATTTAGTTATAGGAGATGTAATTAATAGCGACTAAAATAATGAAATAAAGTCACAGCGTTAAATAAAATTAATCAACAATACGTATAGGAATAAATAGTATATTTGTAAATTTGTTTTAGCAGAAAGGCTTTTATCATATCATTACGGAGGAATTGATTACATCAGACATTGAGAAAAAGTATGTCACGTGGAGAATCAGAAATTGATCTCCGGACTACACCGAACAGGAAAAGCGAATTCATAATTTGGAATATTTTGATGACTTACATCTCTTGGGATGTTTAAAAACGTGTAGTAATCGTTTTCAAGTAGATGTTCCTGATCGTCGTCCATTTTAAAATTTCGATTTTTCTCTCTTTAATTCACACAAATTACAAGTGCCAATACTTTCCGTTAAACTTAGTAGAGATGGGCAATTCTACTCGATTCTGAAATAATCGATCGATTTCTTTTTTTGTGAAATCGATTATTTTAAGAATCGATTCTCGATACCTCGATTCTCTTTTAACGAAGAATCGAATCGTCATTTGTTCCTTCACGGTCCCTCACTTACTGTCCTATAGTCAATTTACTATGCTACTTTTTTTCTACTTTTGTTTGCTTGAAAGGTCCGGGGTTCGATTCTCTCTCGTCTCTAGTTGATTTTGTTTCTGCAATCTATTATTTATTTTGTATTTATTTTTCGCCTATGAAAACATTGTAGATAAACAATTGTAAATAAAATTTCTTAATAAAAACATTTATTTTTTACGATTTCTTATGTTACTACATATTTGTTACAAAACATTTAGGTTTTTGAAATATTTAGGATTTTGAATAATATGATAGAACAACTCTTTTTTATAATTCTCATTTACAGGGTGCATTTAATTTCTATGAAATATGATAAGCATTTGCACATATGAATTCCTTCAAAGGTATGTATAGAATTAATAAACATAAAAGTTAATAATGAATTTATGAAAGTATTCTGTTCTTACAGAAGGAGGTTCTATGTGTGATATGATAACATGCAATATTATATATGATTTGCAAGGATTTATTTTTTGTCTACTATAAAAAACAAAGGATTTTTAACATTGCTCAAAGATTTAGTACTATTATATGATCCTCCTTCCAGAAAAACCATTATCAAAAAATTAGAATCACAATACGAAATTATGAAAAACAATTTTATTAAAGACAGACAACGGGCAGACTATTATTTGACATGCGATAATTGATTTGACTGCTCTAATAAAAATTACGTAGGTGTGACCTTACATTATATAAATGATTCAGTAATACTCAAAACTGAATGCCTAGGATGTATCCTCTCCAGGAATAGTTATTGAATATCTTAAAAGAAGTTTAGAAAATATTGCCAAAGAATTTAATTTATCTAAAAACAACATAACCTGCATAATATTTGATGGTGGAGCATTAAAAAGACTTGCTGTGAAATAGGAAATGATGTAAATGTTATGTGTGCAGCACATGTAATTTACATAAAAGATGTTGAAAGAAATATTTAAGCTTTAGAAAGGAGCAAGGGAACAATTCTTCATCTGGTATAAGATCCCACTAGGTAGACAAAAAAAGTTGAGATGATTAAAAGGTATCTGGAATTGGAAGAATACATATTTGGATCTACTAGAATCTGAGAATCCTGTTAATATTTTGAATAGAAAAGAGACAAAAATTGTGAAGAACATATTTCCATTGATGGAATCTGTACAAGCTATAATTAGAAAAGTAAGTGGAGATCAATACCCTAGCTGCAGAATTATTGTACCTACAGTACACTGTATGCAACAGAAGATAAGTAGCATTAAACCAGAAACAGAAATACGACAAAAGTATAAATCAATACTACAGAATGTCATATTGAATAAGTTCAAAAACTTCAAATATTCTCCTATAATGTTGATCTGCAATATTAAATCTCCACTTTAAAAAACTTTCAACAACCATTAGTGATTCATCCAGCACTAAAACGTATTAGTACTATGGTTAATGCTGTGATGATGTAATGAACACATCTGCTCATATATCTGAACCAACTGAAGGAGTTGGTATATGGAATTTTTACAATGTTTTAAAAGTCGAGACTCCATCTAATTCAAATGCTGATTCTAGTCCATTGAGCAATCCTGAATTGGAGCATACTTACAGTTAAAATGGATTTCAAGGAAAAAGAATATTTTCAGTTATTGGAAAGATGTCGAAAAAGCATTCCCATGACTTACATTTAGTAAAATATCATTAAAACAATTACCAATATTTGGAACAAGTGTTTCATCTGAATGCTTATTTTCATGTGCTGAATTGATTATAAACGTGAGAACTGCAATAGACTAACTGGTATACATTTAAATATGTTAATATTTCTAAGTTTATTTTCTTGAGAAAAATGATGTTTTGTAAAGAAAAATAAAATTAACTTACATTTGTTTATTTAAATGTTTTCAATTTATCTTTATGTTTTTATATTTTCATTATGGACAATTTAAGGAACACATTGATAAATCTTAATGTGGTCTTTCATATAGAGCTAAGTTTATGGTTTGATTTAAGTATATTTTCTGATATATCCATATTTTATTATGAAACCCAATAATCCACCTATCATCTGTTTAAAATATCTTCTCTTATGATTGAAAGCTTGGTAATTATAAGAAGATTATACGCAAGGTGATTATATCTTCCATTCTCATAATCATTTATCATCTGATTCTGCAAGTAAATTCTTATTGACTAACTGCTATGAATATAATTAGCTTTTCCATAATTTTGTATATTAAATAACTTTCAGCTTTTTATTAATGAAAAGCATTGCATTTTGTATTTTTTAGAATTTTCTAATTAAAATTTCATATTTTTCAGGATTTACAAATAAAAAGGGAATCGACATGTACTAAACTAAATAAACCTAATTATACATAACTAATGATTTAATAAAAACCTTTTTTGATTATGCTATATACACTAATTTCACCAGAATCTTTTATTCTACGCATTTTTCTCTTTTGTTGTTACGTTCAAATGGTATTATTCGTGATTATTTTTATCTTCGATTCTTTTTATACATAATCGATTTTAATATATCGTTGTTTTGTAAGAATCGATTTTCGAGTATCGATTCTTTTTACCAGAATGGTATATCCCGAAAACTTAATCTCTTCCTTCTATAGATCACAAAAGACTCAGTCGAGAGCTGGTAATTATTTAGTACTTGTAGCTATCGTCAGATGGTGCTAGATGAGTGGAAGTTCGTTTCTGTTGATCAACTACATTATCGACTTTTAAAGCAGTACAAATACCATAAAAGTTGTAAAATTCAGTGTTAGTCCAATTGCGGTTATTACAAGGATTTTTTTTTTTCTCTTGTTTTTTCAATTTCTACGTTTTACTTTTTTTTTTATTATTCTATTTTTCTACCTACATATAAGTTACAAAACTTATAAGTAACGAAAAGTAGCAAATATTAAATTTCTATATAATTTATTGTATAATTTTCAAGAATGTATTGTTGTCAATTTTTATTCGAAAATTTTATAAATTTCTTAATACTACTGTTACATGTTAATAATTTTATTTGTGATCCTTATATGCATTTTCGAAAAATAAGTTTAAAGTTGACAATCTTAAATAATTTTATGCTTCTACATTTTTCTTACTAACTTAAGAGTACAACCATGGCACAATACCGTGCAATGCTTTGCTATAGAACGTGACCACAACTGGTCACGACAAACCACCATAAAAAGCCAATAAAATTGGTAAGGAGAAGCTGGAAGAAAGGGCAGCTCAGTGCTTCGGAGTCAGTTTGCTTTGACATTCTCTAATCAAAACAAGAATTTCCCTTCTTTTTTAGTCTTTTCTTACACACTCGTTGGGTCAGTCATAATTTTTAATGGGTTCAAAGTATTGAGTTTCCTAATGATTTATCGTACTTTTATAAACGTATCTTGTTATAAACTTGTAACAAGGATTTTTATAGTATTTCAGCGTTTTATACTTATATTTTATTTTATAGGTTATCTTAGATTTTTATGAATAAAGGAGTAAGGTAATTATTTTTATAAATACTTAAGTATATTTAAGATCTAGTTGAAAATTATTCGCAACAAATTCTAGAATAAAGATATATTTCTTTCAGAACGATCAGTCTGTTTGCAATAGAGTATCGTACACGTGATAATAATTGCACAGGCAAGGCACACGTTGTTTTAATAGCGAATTAATCGCAATCGCCATGGCTAATGGCAACAGTAACGTTAAGAGGCGAAGAAACAATTAGCCAGTCCGGTCGGCAGTATTGTTAAACACGTTCATTGTACTGCTTTAACAATACACTGTTACAGTGACAACATCCAGGCCAGTGAGTCTTAGTCTTCAATCAACAATTCGTTATCACCGTTGAAAAATATCCGGTCGTCGTCTTTTTTTCGAATAAGAAATTTCAACGAATAGTTTAGTAGTTGAGGATTGAATAATACTCATTGTATTATAATATTCATCGCCATTCAATCTTTTTCAAACAGCACTAAATCAAACTAATTTTAACTAAATTTTGACTTTTACCTTCTTTGATTTCTATCGATTCACTTCTATCTCATCGATTTTTTAATTAATTATTATTAATTATAGTGATTTATTTATGAATATATTAATTGTTTTTTAATATCAGAGAAATTAGATGATGTACCATATATAAAATACGAAAATATAAAGTATGAAATGAGTAAAGATTGTATTATTCCACATAATTACGAATTATATTATGAAATAATCAACTCAAATACAAAATCAATTATGCAGTATCTGTCCGGTAATGGAATACTCTTTCACAATTAAGCACTGAGTCATCACGTCATTGAGTTTTAAAAAAGGATTAGGAAACGCGCATTTTTCAAAAAGGATTTGAATCACATCATAGAATCTGAAGTTAAGTAATTTATTATTCTGTTGGCCAACTATATCTAGGGTAGATCGAGGTGAATTGGATTACTTTTCTTTTTATGCTCGGAAAGCTATAACTAAAATTTAGAAATACAATTTTTTATTACAATAAATTTAAAGTAAGTAAACTTAAAATCTTTCTTTTATAAACAAAAATCAGGAAAGTGAAAAATATCTGATTCGCCCCAAATTTGAAAATTGAGAATCGGATAACCTAAAAATCTCTAAAAGGAAAAACTGAAATTTTCATAAAGTAATCTATAGTGTCAACTTAAAAAATATATAAATCAATAACAACAAGATCCACAACCCTGCTTGATAAATAGGTCGCCATTACATTGTCCTTTAATACTACTGGTATCGATATATTTTTTTCTGGCACCACTCATTACAATATATTCAATTTTCCGCAGGTGGAGGAATAAATTTTTCACTGCTAAATACAGTGTTATATATATAAATCTCTTTTATTCTTAATTTCCATCCTTGGAGTTGCCTCATATTTTTTCTTATTTTGGATGGATTTTTTATTTTTTTTCAAGTTCTATTCAATCTTTAATTTCTTTTGTTTTTTTAATAAAGTATTGCCTTATTTTTAGGTTATGTTAAATACAATAGTGGTTTTGTAATTGTTGCCACTACAAAACTTACAATTACACATTTCGCTCTTTTCTTTTTAAAGCTGTATGAAGTGCATTAGGTACCTATACATTTCTGCAGGTGATTTAAATTTTCTTAATTTAACTAGCTAGCCATTTCTCTTGGTTTAACTTTTATTAGAGCCTTTTTCATGTTTTCTGGGCATCATGATCCCTGATTATTTTTTCTTATGTACGTATATACAACCCGCATATAAACAATTATCATATTTACAATGATAAAATTATTTACACGATGAAAGAAAGTGATTTAATTCATCTTGAATGAAGTGATCCGGTTAACCCCGTAAATAAGAATTTAAAAATTAATAAAATACATAAAAAAGTCATGATATAATAATCTAAAATATATTAAATATTATTTTTCAGTATCATGAGAACTAATAACGTTAAACATATTTGAATTTTCAAATTTATTTTCTTATTTTTAGTATGGCATTCCTAACTACCTTGTTAGATTTGCACGAAAATTGTAAGACCTACTCACGTCCGTCAATCTTGTAATGCGTGTCAATACTAAATTACAACAATCGATAATGCATCGAAATAAGTACATGGAAAAACAATGAAGAAAAAACGAATGTAATGTAACAAAATTTTACTATATTCTTAGTTTATTATATTTATTATATTTTTCTAGAAGTAATGTCCGACATTTTACTTAAGGCATAATCTGAGGAGAATTTCATCGAATCCTTCTTCAAAGAAGGTGGAATCCAATAGTGAAAATGCAATGCAAAGATAGACAAGATCAGCTTAGAAAAATAAAAAAAGAGACTTCGGAAAGAATATCAAAAGTAGCATATAAGAACTAATAACATAAAGAGGAGAAGGATGTAATACTAGAATATAAGGAGATACGACAAAGTTCTGAAATGAAAATTTGGTCAGGCATATATAACAATTTGAGAATAATAACTTTAGGTAGAGAAGAAATGAAGTATAAAGACGTAAAAATATGACAAAATATCCCCACCATTTCTCGGAACAAATTCGGGCCAATGAGATCTAGCTCGAGACAGTTAAAAAATTTGAAACTTACTATGTCCGTGTAACAAGGAAAAATACAATGACACTATGCAATAAAAACTATAATCTAACTTTTTTGTTTCTAATTCTTTCTGTATGAAAATTTTATTAATATATTGGTCAGACGCTTACAATTAAAATGAGACTAGATATGACATAGTTCATATAATTACAATACAAAGTATATCGTGTTTAGTCTTATTTCAATCGGAAAAACTTTAACAGTATATTAAAAAAGTTTTCACAAAGGGAAAAGTTATTCAAAAGTTGAATTCAGAAAGTTATAAAAATTAATTCAATGAAAAGAATCTCGTCACGTGTCACATTACAAGTTTCACTGACTTCAGCGAAGATAAGTAAATTGATGATGAAGAACTAAACATTGACAATCTCGAGAATCAACTGGGACGCTGACAATTCTCAAAAATACATCTCCCACGATAGTGGTCACGATACGAACTCGTCGTGCGTCTACTATCGAGGCATTACTGTAGTAGGAATTATATAGTATATATGTATATTTAAGACTAAACAATTTTTAATTTGCATTATTCTACAGACTATTTTTGGCTATTCCGATAATTTGTGTTATTTTAATAATGGATTAAACTTTATCGTGAGTGATCCGGTGGTAAGGTTAAAGAAATATAAGCCCTTCTGTTTTGCAGTCGTTATCAGTACCCTGCCTAAATCACGTTGCCTCGTATTACGTAATCAGGGGCACGTATTACAGGTCCATTTCTTAGAATCGTACCTACATCACGTAGGAAGTATTTATATTGCTCACGATCGATGGCTGGGAACTTGTGAACTGTTTATCCGGAGATTTCGATTTTGATAACAACGCCGTAGAAAGAATTTGATAGGTACTATCAAGGTAGTCCCTGCTCAAAAACTCCTCAAAATGACAGCATCGTTATTTCACTGTGACTGGTAAGATGAAAGTTCTACAACAATATAATAATCTTTAATACCATCTATTAAGTATAAGTTAAAATTTTAATAAATCTATCACCTATTTAAATTCTTAAAATAAATTTCTTTAAAATACCACTAATTGCAAGTTTAGACATGTATGTCATTTAATATACTTTAGAACTTTTGTATAATTTACATGAAAAGAAAAAAATTGGTGATAAAATTCATAGTATCATCTATCTTAATACAATTAGGTTTCTATAATGAATTTGATTAATTACAATAGCAAATAGGACTACTTCTAATTTGCCTGAAAAAAGTTTCAATACAGTTTTCTTCTAATCAAGATAAGTACTTCGAACATATTTTTTTCTAGAAAACAATGGATATTGCTTTCACAGGGGTGAAAGGATATTCTGTACAGTGGAAATCAGTATTCCCTTATAGTGAAACGAGTCACAAGGGATTAGAGAACGTTTACTGGGCAGGCGCGTGTAGCTGATGCACCAGATCGATCTTTTCATCCAATAGAGAAGGCAAATGTGTCACAGTCTCCGCCCAAAGCATGGCGACTGTTTTTCTTTCCCCTCTATCATACTAAATGAACATCCCGGCTGCTCTGTGTAACATGAAAAATGGAACTTACAGAATCAGAAACACGTTTCTAATGGATCAATTAACTGAATGTCTCGCTTTTTAGGTCAAAAAGATGTACCGCATTAAAGTTTTCAACTTTATAAACAATTTATAAACCCTCGATTTGAAACAAAAATTAATAGAAGATATTTGATCTAAAATTAATGCGTATGTATCTTAACGTAGGCCACACTTTGAGCATAATAATTTTTCATATGCTTCCTGATAAGATACAGTTCTTTTGCGGATATAAACTTTGCAAGGAATAGTATCGATCCGAATGAACGCATGCGCATTCATTAAAACCGGTAGAATAAAAACGGCAATCTTATGGTCATATCAGGTGCAATTAAATCCTGACCAGGCCATTTTCCATTGAGTTCAGCGATTCTTTCGGCGACCTTAATTTCAGTGGAATTCTAGGTAATGATTATCGTGTAAAACACGATTGCTTAACACGATTTCTTAAATGCTACCTGAGTACGATTACATAATTGTACCCGATGACTCAAGTTGGGCTAATTATTTTTAAAGTAGAACACAGCAGTACTTCGTAGTGGAAGTTGAAGAATGTTAAGTAGATCACTAAAAATATGCAATTTTGTTAGTTTAACTTCATATGTTATTCTATGCTAAATACCTAATTAACACTGATTCTATATCTACGCCAATGCTTTATCGCACTGCCTTACTTGGTCTCGATGCACGTATCTCATTCGATTCTACATAATCGAAATTTGTATATCAATATTTTCGGTTAATACTGAAAATTGGCGTGGCTTATCTTCATAACTGTTCGGGAAACTGGAACTATTGCGTCATAATCAATTAGTCACACATTCCTTTGGTTAGATTTCTTCTAATCAACAGACAATGTTAATTTCATTGATAATTTGAAAGACTGTGTACGAATTTAATCTATACATGCCACTTTGCATGCCCAAACTTCATTAGTTTGTGAAACCTCGTCAATGAATAACATTGTTCAAAACATTTTCTAAACGCATGCTTGTTTCATACTATTTAACAACCGCTCTACTCTCTTTACAAACTTTGCACTGAAAGTATAATAAATACTGTTCCAGCCAATAAACAATGAATAACCAGATATCAATATTCGTTTAATTGTTATTTCTTTCTCAGTCTCAATACAAATAATTTGCCTTCTTCCTTCAACAAATACATTTCTTTTTCCCATTCAATTTTCTGCAAAGAAAATTCTCAAAGTCAGTAGTGCATGGACACTTCCTTTGTCCTCACAGGGAACAACGCGATCAGACCATGGACGTAGCCTACGAGGACACGATTTTTGGCTGTCCAGTGCAAGGGGCGGAGAACCAGACGTGGGAGGTCTCTGTTGGATGGCTCGGTGGCAGCGAAACTCCGCCTCTGTAAGCCTCCACCCGCTTCGAAACGTTCGCTGGCTCGCTCAGAACATTCTCAATTAGTTTCAATCTCGGCTGGCTCTCTTCTCTGGCGCACGCTCTATCGTACTCCCGCTGCTACTCGACGGTTTCCACGCGAATCGCGATACGACGAAGTGATAAAACGTCGACCTTACCGTCGCAGTGCTACGAACAAGGTAAACTTCCCCGGTGATCTACTCCTGTTGTTCACTTGATGATTCTCTCAGGTTCATTCGACTTCCTGGTTCCTGTGAGTTGATTGTTTTCATAGTTTGTAAATTCCGTAGTGATCTGATCAGTAGTTTTGAGAATATGGATTTTGATTGTTACGATGCTGTTGTTGTTAATTTAACGTGGTGGCTGCTACGGTTATTTGGTGACAAGGTTGTTTCTTCTTTTTATTCTAAGAGCACTGGATTCTTGTTTGTGGTTTCAGTTACAGAAACTGTGATTGGTTTTCTATTCTGTATTCTGAGGTTTCCTAGAGCTTCCAAAAGTCATAAATGCCTGGTTCTTTCTAAAATTGAAGAAAATGATGTTTTATATTATATTGATGAAGAAATATGTCTAGGGATTGAAAATGATTCTGTAAGTGACTTCTTTCCTTTTATACTAACCAAGAACTTGTTTAGGAAACTTAACACGAGGCAGAGATTCGTTGCATTAACACTGACAAAGAATCTACTAACCAGAATTTATGAAATTATAAAATTATTTCTTTCATTTGGATACAATGTTTTATCTTAATTCCCTTAAACTTCTAACGGAATGGAATTATTACAAGAATTCTGTAAGAAGATTCATCTTCCTTGTGATTCTTGAAAACGATATGCAAAGTTTGGTTCCTCTTAACCTGACGACGCCGTCGGATGTCGATGACGTCGCCTTTTACGTCGTGTACAAAGTTCATTACCTCTAAGAGCTTTGGGTCGTCGTTGATCCATCGTTTATACTTATAATGAACATCTACAATCGTAAAGCTCATGAATGGGATGATTTATTATCGTAACGTGCCAGCTGTAATAAAAAGGTGGATTTCGTGTAATATCGTTGAGACGGTAGCCAGGGGCAAGTTTGTAAACTTTGTTCTGCGATCGGCAAGATTTCTATGAACCCAACGCGGTGTTTAGTAAACAACCAGATAAATGGTTCTTCCTTCTACCAGACAAGATAAGGGGCTCTTCTAATTATGTCAAAACAGCCGTCTGTACCTCCATAAATCAAGCATCAATTAACGTACACGATTCTTAAATGATTTCAATAATAAAATCATTCATATTAAATTAATTACCTGATTTCAACTTAATATCAATTAATATTGATCTCTCTATTAAGCTTCAACTAATACACTATTATATAATCAATCTTAGCTTAGCAAAATTAATTAATAGATACTCAATCTAGTCATAGTTTTTAGAATATTTAAACAAAATACTGGATTATTATATTTTTTAAACGATTTTAAACTTAGTTGAATATGTTATAGTCTTTCAATAAACTTGGCTAATCAGTTTACAGTACTAATATCTTAATTGTTAAAGAAAAAAATGGTTTACATTAGCATTAAGCCGAGTAATCTGCGAGATTACTAGCTCTTTGATGTTGATATCCAGCTAATGAGCTGAACCAATGATAAAGTGTCATGAGCAGCTCCTAATGTGCATCCAGGCTTAAAATAAATGAGTTTGACGGGTCGCGTATACCCTCTTATTGTCAAAATTTACGAGATGTCCGCTGGAGGATGCATCCAGGATCTTCTGTCGGCGGCCGCCGGAAGTCTCAACGACTCCCCGGGGACGGGGTCCTTTTCCTCGTGCTTGGCTAAGTGTTCAGCTGTTGCTCACTCGTCAACCTTCCCTTCTAGAGCTGCGTCAAACTCCTTGTCTCATGGCATCGGCGGCTTTGAGTTTGAGACACACGAGTTTGCACATTGAGAATCGTTCAGTAAGACCGGATAGCTTCTTTCCATTTGTCACGAATAGGGATTCCACTTATTTCCTTCAATGTTATCGGTGAATAAGATTTTAAGTCTGTAGGTTACATAGAAATTATTTTATAAGGTGTTGAAACCTGTATATCAATTTCTTTTTATATTAGTAATAATTTTTGTCTTATTAATTGATGGTTATACCTTAGAACTATAATTAAAAGCCCATAAAACGAACTTGTATCTTTATTTTTTGTTGCAGATCATATCAACAAGTTTCAAGAACTATATACTACGTTTTGATGCTTCTCTGGTGTGTCAAGGTACCTCCTTCTTAAAGATGTAACATCAAGTATTAAAGGTGTAGCTTGTGATCAGTGACTAGTTACTAGTTTGCAAAATCTCAAGTGTCAGTGTCTTTGAAGAACTTTGAATATTTCTCTTAAAGCAATTAGACCGTTTTGAAATAATCAGTGTTGAACAGTGGAGGGCTTGCCCGCCTATTGGGAGGACCTAGCCGTGCAGCATAGTGTAAATGCAGCTGCAACGGCCAACATTTTTATGAATTACGACCTGGACAAGTCAAGGATGGTCTCGCACGTCATTCCTGTCGCTGGGGTAATTTTCAACCATAATCATTTACAGTTCATCTATAGTTGTGATCATGGATGACCATGGAGAATTTATCATATAATTACGATATTCCATGGCTTTATAGTTGTATTATTAGACACAAAGTCCATTAGAACAGTGTAGTACTTCGAATTGTAGAACAACACATTTTTCTGAATTTCCATGGTTTTTCAAGTGAACGATCGACAACATTCAGCTGGTACGATAGTCGAGAGTCAAGCAGCGTCGCTTATCGTCGCACACGAGGGAAGAAAAAAGAGAAAAGTGGAGGTCATGCCCTCGAAAATTTCGCAACTATCCGATCTGCGTCTTC